TATGACACTATAAACTTAGTAAGTTCGCCGCAGTGAAAAGTGAAAATTACTCGGAATCGGAATTCTTGATCAGATGATATGGGGCAGACTCTAAACAACATTGATAATAATTAGTGTAAAAATGTAACTTGTGCTTTGGTAAAAATCGGCTCCCTTAGCATTTAAACATTGATCACCATCTCCGTACCAGGTCAAAGATCTGAATTGATGTATTCGTACTACTAATGAAAGTTTTTAGTTAACGTCGCGTGGATACAAAAAGCTGTTAATTTCGCACTTAGCCTAAAAGCAAACCATTGGAACAAGACACTCCAATTTTCTTTTGTTATATCGTTGCTATGGTAACCACGTGATTGAATTGTTTTTTTTTCCGTTGGAATTCGGTACCATAACTTTAACGAAGCATTAACTCCTGTATTTCGCCTCGAGACCACATTTGCGTTATTGGTGTGATTATACGATTGTTCCTTATTCATATTGAGTTCACGCTCTATTTCCTGACCGATTAATTCCTCATCGCGTATTATTTTAATTCTTGCAATTTAAACAAACTGCTCGATTACATTAACACATATAACTGTTGCATTACACTAACACGACTTTTGATAATGGATTAAATTCCGCATCGCCTAGTATTTAGAATGAAACTCGAAAGAAAAAACAAACTTTTACGTTTCACAATTAAATATTTTATGTGTAAAGCGTAAATAACCCAGGAAAATTATTCTTTTGCGGTAAATAAATGTGTACAAGATGGAATTCATTTGAATCGATAGTATGCATCCCAAAATGAGTTTGCGTCGGTTTCTGACTTGTGCTAAACTTTTGAGAATCGAAAAACCACGAAATTTTGCGCTTATTACTCGAAAACCGAACAACTTACATACAATTTTGTTCTCATTAAAATTCAAGAGCCTAAAATTTCGCGTCAGATGATCTATTAAAAGTTAAAATCGGTTCAGAGGTTTGGTCAGAATTCATCGTCAAAGATCAGCAATCTTTGTCAACCTAGCGAAAAAATGAATTAAACTCAAGTATCTACCCGCCTGTATCTTAAAACCGGTTACTCCATATGAAAAACCTTACACACGAAAGTTGTAGAGCTTCAAATTTTACGTAAAGAGAGCGAAATTTAACATAATTTTAAAATTAGCACCTTTCTATATACAGAAATATCTACCAATAAAAACGTACCAGAACAGAAAATATTATACACTTTTGTCCAAGATAAGGATGAGGATCTCCGAAACCATAGAAGATACGAAGATGGTCATACTAGAAAAAAGATGCGCAATTAAAGAGTTATTATCATACGTTAATGAAAACCAGAAAATTTCGATTACTTCCAAAAATATGCCAGAAAAACCGAAATTTCCCGATTTCGTTTTTATATTTTCTGTGATGTTACATGAAAAGTTAAAAAAATAAAGGAAACACTTTCTCGTTGCTACTTTTTGAGCTCTAGAAGACACCATTGAGAGATTTTCAATATATAACGTTACGTTATCATTAACTTCAGTTTGTTCCGCAAAAAAATTACATACTTTATTAAGTACCTACTGTAGAACACACTAAAAAAACAACAGTTGGTAACAATGTTGGTTTCAACAGAATGGCGCTTCTGCGCACAACGCCATAATCGTTCGAGATCACCTATCGACCAATTTTCAATTGTCCAGGAAATTTGTGCGATAAGTATTATCTTTGGGTGTTGTGCGCAGGTGCACCATCCTCTTGAAACCAACAGTTTCCAACTATTTTTTGTATGCCGTACATCGTTGTATTCGTAATAAGAAATGCTATTAATACAGAATATACTTTTTTTGCGGGCCATATAAAAAATAAAGTTGATGATGATTTCTTCGAAAAGAAACGTTGTATTGAAAATTTCTCAACAGTGTCTTCTAGAAATCAAAAAGTGGAAATGAGAAAGTGTTTTTTTTTTAATTTGTTTATCTGTTTATTACATCAGAAAGAAATAAAACTCAAATCAGCAAGTTTTTCTGACATACCTTCGGAAGTAATCGGAACTTTCGGGTTTTCTTTAAAGCACGATAACAACTGTTTAATTCCGCGACTTTTCCCCGATTTGACCATCGCCGTATCTTCTATGGTTTCGGAGATCCCCATGATAGACAATAGACATCCTTATCTTGGACACAGTATGTAACCTTTAATTAATGGAGAAATACAAGAAATCATCAATAAATGAACTGTAACATTTTAAACTTTTTCAACTGTAACTATGTACCTAACTTTTTTACACGTTCTTTATGCAATGGAAAGTATTCTGTATTTTTTTATGTTTTTCTGCGTTTCGGGGAAAATGTTCTCCGTCTTCGTCTGACACGATCTAAATTGGTTTCTTGCACGACGTCAATCTCATCGTCGATTAGCGTTGAATCAAGAAAGATGTCCTCTTCTGTTACTAACCGAGGCACGTGGCGCAGTGGATGCGCTCACCGATGCTATTCGGGAGGTTGTGGGTTCGAATCCCGCTGCCGACTGCTCTGTCTGGGGTTTTGTCAGGGGGTTTTCCTCAGACATACGTAGCTTCGCATAATGCTAGCATTATGTTGAAATCTACGAGGCGAATGCTGGAGCAGTACTCTCCCCCTCAGCACCCTAACTCCGTTCCTTCCGTTCCCATCCCTAACTTTACCCATCCTTACAATCCCGTTCTCTGGCTGAAGAGGGCCAGGAAGCCCTGAGCAGCCCGCCTCCGGTATCCCTGTAGTCAGGGGTGCCGGAGGAATGAAACACGTTGGCCTTTTCCTTTTTTTTCTGTTACTAAGTTGAGGCATGAAAGCGAGTTTGCATTCGCTGCATATAGCCGACGACCACTGTATTCCAGCTATTCTGCAGGAACAAGCTGCTTGTTATGTAAACCTTTCTTGCACGTTCAGGATATTGAATTAACATTTCTTGGGGCGCTAGTGATTGGGTAGTTGCAATTGGGATCATACCAGCTGATTGTGATTCCAGATCTCAATCCGCAAGTACACTCGCAATGTGCAATCAATAAAACTGAAATAAAAATAGGCACTCATGGTCAAAGTACAAATACTACGCAATAAGCGATCGATGGAAACAATTAATTAAGTAAAACTTAATTACCTTAAAATGTTAATAAACCAATATATTCCGGTCGTAACTGCGATTTTTATTAAATGACCCACAAACACAAAAAGCAACTGATTTAAACGAGACTGGGTTCGTTGTAATGTCAGATATAATACTGAACTGATTCTTTGATGGTGGAAATCTCCCTTTAACTGATACTTGAACACTTTAAAGAAAGGCTTTACATTAGCCATAGCTGCTCGATAAACACAACACTCCAACTACCTCCTTCGTAAATGTCACTTCTTTAAAACGGCGTAATGAACATCTCTGGCAAGAAGGAGTATCTTGTAATAATACGCTGTAATACGCTACAAAACTGGCAATCACCAAAACAATAATCAACTGTACGTTTCAAAATCCACAAAAATTAAAATAAAACGATTAAATATCGCTTCAATTGGCACAATACACAACAGAATTGAGAAATTTTATTTGATGGTCGAATTGCTACCATAAAAGGAACTTTTTTAATTGGTGAAATTAAGTTAAATATTTTAGTGTACGTAGAAGAAAATCCAATCATACCATTGTTCGTAATTTAGCAAGAGAATTTGAAACTTCACACATGTCCATATTTTAATCAAAAATTCACAGCAAAGGAGTCAAATTCAGTAACTGAAAAATCATTTTAAAACCACTTTAAAGACCGGTTCACAGTTAATAAGTTGAATCTGTTCAACAAATGAGTTGAATAAGTTTATTTTGTTTACACTGCTGTCAAATTTGTGTGGAAGGTGGGTTGCATAACTGTCAGGCATATCAATGTATTGTCTGGTATATTTAAGCATTGAACATAGGAGATTTGTATGTTCAGAGTATTTAGTTAATATATTATATATGACGTCGTAAAACTTAGAACTTAACACTGCAACCTTTTTTTTTGAAATCCTTTACGTCCACAAAATTCATTTTTTTTATTTTTTCCATTTCGAAAATGCAACATTGAGTCTTTTTCTAGAGAAAGAGGCATTTTACAGGATTTTACTGCCAGCAAGAAATGGACATACCGTTTAAAAGAACGGGTTTCGTCATACCTACAAAGTTATTCGTTGTACACTGGGGCTTTTGATAGTTTGGGAAAAACTGTTTTTGGTTTCAACAATTTCGTAGTATTATATTATATATTTATATTTATTATATTATTTATATATTTAATTTAGTAGTAGTTTCACAGTAATATGAAACCTACCAATCTCTTCTTACTCAAATTCTCAGTACGAGTCGGGGTGTAACATTTCCCAAGGCATTCGTCTGAAATATCATATCATAATCAGTATCAATATCTCGAAATCTGGCGATCGCATCAGCCCCCCAAAACCCGCCATTCAATACAGACCTTAATTAAAGAGGAAAAAACTTTTCTTGTTAACGTTAAATCAATTGGAAGTCGAGGTCTAGATTTACGACATAAAAGGATGAATGGAAGCGAAATTAACCAGAGATTATTACGTGGGTTCTTGGTGGTATTATTCGCTAATAAACCTCATTGTATTATTAAGGATTTCTCCCTTCGTAAAAATTTCACTTTCGCCCTAATATTAACAGACTGCAATAAAACAGTGGTTGCTGATAAACACGCTGACGTTATATTTATTAGCAATAAACAAGAAGCACGGCGTTTTTATTATGAGGTTAAAACTGCGTACGTAAAAGTATGTGTTTTTTAGTCTTCAATGCGTGGATACAATGCATAAGATTTGCGGCTAGGAGCAATATCGAAGTATTCACGCGGAAAAATTTCCGTTGATGCGTCTATAATAGCTACCTACAGCTTTGCTTTTGATCTACATAAAATTAAAAAAAGCGGATCTAATTTTATTACACGTAAATTACAGAAAAACTGCACCCAAGTTATACTTTTTCTTTTGTTGCAGAGGAAGGACGTGGAAAAAAGAAGAAAGTAACTATGATCCTGTTGCCTTTAATTATATTGTTTAAATTATTTAAAATTAAACTAATGCTAGCGATAGTGTTAGCCAGTGTGTTGTTTATAAAGAAGGCGGTCTTGCTTGCTGCAATTATCCTACCTACAGCTTTACAGTACCTGAAGCAGTGTTCGCACGGAAGACAACCACATCACTTCCACCCCACGCCTTATCACCACTTCGAACATGACGACCACGAAGAACCCAGTTACGGGGGTTATGGATACGGCAAAGACTACGATAGGGCGTATAATGGATATGTAAAGTCTAGGCATGGTAACTAGAAAGTGGTTTGCGATCTGTTGTATAATATGCCAAAAATTATTCATGCCATAAGTTCTTTATTTTTTTTCTTTATGCTGAATGTGGAATTAACCCTCCAGATTTTTTAAATTAAAATATTTATTTTCTGATATAATTCTTATATACTATGTAACAGGGGGTGTATGCAAACTTTGCCTTCTGACCAGCAGTCCTTTCAATGACCTTAATGCTAGACACTTCTATGTCTTCTGGGCGTTTAACGATCATAAATGAACAAAGCGTGTGCAAACAACTTAAGAAGTACACGAATTGACATAGATATGCTACTAACGGCCTCCATCAACTTTTCAAATAAAACAGAATGCTAATTATACCCTTCCTTCTCCAAACTGCGCTTCGCGAATGTAGAGCTTACAATCACTTTTAAGACTGAATGAAATAAATACATAAACGTCGACCATCTTCTCGCTTCCTAGAAGTTTGTGCAATTCGCCCAGTGGTAATAGATTATTATCAGGTAAAGTATTTGTGTCGTTCATGTTATTATTAATGGTTCTTTTTGATTAAAACTGGCGTGTAAAAATATCAAGACCAAAGTGATGGTAAATTTTCAATCACCTCTACACGTTTATTTCGCCATACTAAAATTCCAATTAATTACGAGTGCCCAAATCCCAATTGAGGTCGTAAATTTTATGTTAGGTGAAAAGTAGCGTCGGTGAACTAATTTTTTACGTTCTTTTTTTAACAGCATTTTGTCTGCCCATTTTTGGTAACCGTAAAGGCATGCAGGCCCATTAGTTACCATACCAATTAGTACCTATACATCATTTTTGGAATTTAAAGAAATTTGTTTATCTGTAAAGATGAGCCATATAAGGTAAATTTATGGCATCTACAGCTGCCTGTTTATACTTGTTGTGTAAGAACTTCAATTACTTTTACCTATAGATAATGTACAATGTACAAAAACGCGAGCCGGTTTGGCAATGTTAATTTTTAAGGAAAGCGATAGCGTATAATTTTTCTCTGAAAACAAGTAGTATGTGAAGAATGCATTATTGCTTCTTATTTTTCATTTTTGTTAGTAATTTCTTCTTAATGCAATTTTATGTTTAATCTATGAAGATGACTAGAGAGTAACTTTTGTCGGTCGCATAGTATAAGGCCGTTTCCGTAACGTCCTTAATCCAGTATAAAAATATTAATTTGGTTTTTCCGCAAAATGGCCCTCGACAGCTGCTATAAGTTGTCTCTAAATCTTGTGTGCTTTTTTTGAGATTCGGGAATAAAAAAAAGTCACTGATGGATGTTAGATCTGAACTATAAGGCAGACGTTCAATTTTTTTCGAAGCCACAAAAAAAGACACCTTCGTATGTGGCCGGCACCGTTGTGGGAAGGACACGACTCCTTGTACGACAATGCGCGACCAGAACAATCCAATGTTAAGATTTCGGAGGAGGGCATTGCTCGCGCGGAGGAGGCTGTAAAGGCCAGCAGAAACATCACAGAGGACGAGATTGCCACCCTGGTTAACATCGCCGTTTCATGTCGGACGCAGAGACGAGGTCTGTGTTTGGATGGCCTCATGCTTGAAGGAATTCCGGGAGCGAGGCGAGGATAGGGAATTCAGACACATTTATATCAAACGGTTATGGAAAATTTCATCAAAACAGTTCATACGCGCCAGAAGAACCGTGGAGGCCACTTACCCGAAATGCTATTCTATACATAATCCCAAGCATAATCCTACCGTGTATAAATTGCCACTAATCAAAAACCTATTTATTCTACTAAAATTCCTTCTTGAGTGCATTTTGAGACACCCTCTCTATTATAATTCTATAAAACCCTTCACTATTAAAACTGTTGTTTTGTCATACTATTTTATAATATTTGTTTCCGGCGACTTCATCCCACCTGTTTGTCGTATCGTATACCTATTTCTTTCCCGTTCCAGTGGTAATTTCAGGAAGTGCTTTCAGAGTACCTTTACGTTTTCAAAGAAACCTACGCTCTAAATATCGAGCAGTGTCGACTGTAAAACGTGAAATTCCGTTTGTCACCGTACCCTTGGGAATGGGGTCATCCCGCCTTCATTTTTTATTTCTGATCCACAAAGTACATTAAAAATAAAAAGACCCGTATGTCCTTGGTTTTTATTTGCGAGTAAAATAAACCCAAAATAAATTATTGAAAAGCTGTGTTTTTAGTCCAAATTTGAAACGCTTCAGACTAAATACGTCACAAACCTACAACCAATCACGTAGAAGTGAGCTGGCAACCTTACGCGAAGGTCTGACGTTTGTCACATTTGACGTTTTGAGAGGGATGTTTAACTGCATCTAGCACGAAAGTGACAAGTGCCTGTGACAGATGACGCAAGTTATAAATGCCATTCTCCTGCAATATTGCCAAGTCGTTATGTCATCTGAATGGTTCTAGGAGCTGATTGGTCGGGCTTATTACGTCACAGAGCCCGCCACAATCATATCGTTTTGAATAAACCTTTAAAACCGCACATGTTCATTATTTTCTTGCTAATCAGCCTCTATTTTTAAATAAACTTTTACTGTCCAAAAAAATGTTTTATGGTTTCAGGTACACGCTTATTAAATTAGAACTGCGGAATTCAACTATACTGTAAACCCCCATTTCGGAGTGTTTTACTAAATCAGAAACCTTCACGGGCATACGTCAAACCATTCTCCAAAGTTTTATTACAAACGGATGAACGGTTTAGGAAGGCATAAGAGACATACAGGTAGGTAGCTTGCTACGAGGGTGACTCGGGTTTTGTAAGTTCACAAAATACGGATGGTTAGGGTAATGAGGTGTGTATAATTAAATTGAAATGAAAATTTCTTTTTAAAATATGTTTTGGACGAACATCGCCTCATTGGTACTTACCTACCATTTAGTCAAAATGCATAATTAACTAGGCACCTATTGAAATAAAAATTCTGCTAACAAACGTGACTACTTCTTTTTCTCTTGGTCTTTGTTTTAAGAAATGTGAGAAAACCTTAAACCTACAAATAACCTAATGTCCAAATCTGCTTGGTGTCACACTCAAGTCTAGTTTCAAAATTGAAGGGAACCAAAGAGTAACACTACAAATTATCCACTGGTGGCGACTGGCCGAGCACATCTTCGACTGGCGAGCGTTACGCATGAGACGATTTTACTCCCGTCCAAAAGATAATACAGTCCATATGGAGCGAAAAGAAGTAGTCATTTCAAAAATACTAATAACGCGACCCGTTACACTAAGTACAATTCCATAACTAAGTATATCGTTGTGACAGATCATTCATATCGAATCTGAAGGTACTATTTTTATTTTTGGATGAACTGTGCTGAAATGGAACTTCGAAGTGATCTAATTCAAGGTCGTCACTTTACATTTTAATTGCAGAAAAGGGAAAAAATACTTTCCGGCAATAGCTTCAACGGGTGAGTTACACTGGATGAGTTGCGAATAATCTGGAATCGCAAACCATTCGGTTTCTCGTGAACAGCCGATATTGCGTGCGTGCGTTATCATGAATCATCCTCTCAAGTCATGCGGTACAGTTTTGGATAGTTCGGGATGTTCAAACTGTTGCTTTCTACCAAACGGTTTCCGAATCAACAAAAGCAAACACGATTCGCCGCACACCTTTACAAATTTAACATTTTCCATTAAAGGAGACTTTTGATTGGTATTATCAAATGTAACGTTACACAAAAACAAAATTACCAGAAACAATCACAGGACTGCACTAATAGCCAGGTCACATATCATATCAAAGTGTCCTCATAGATGGAATACGAAAAAAGCTTTTATAGTTGTATAATAGTAATTGAATATTCCTAGTTAGCAAAATAGTAGGTAATTACGTTTTTCTATTGTTTACCATCCTTTGTGAACTGTATTTCTGTGTTTAACAATGGACCAGAACAAAACATTTTTTAAATGAGAATGTAATTTCCATCAGTCAGGTAAAAAAATGTTTCTGTCAACTACAATCACCCGTTTCCATTAAATGTTCACGTATTGTCATGAATAATGTCCACCTCGAAAATAAATTGCTTTCATCTTTTTTACTTGCAAATAAATAGACGTGCTTGCAAATTTTTCATCTACAATTCAACGCATGACTTCATGTATAGTTTCTATTCAGTACCAAAAACCCGTTTTTGGATGAGAATTTCAGGTTCAAATAATCAAATAAGTAAGATTAATGCGGTCGTTCTTAAACCGAGTGCTGATGATCTTCGACCTTTTGTTTCACAAAATGAAACTGGAAGAGTTACTTTGCTCTCCTATCTTTCTTGATTGAGTAACCGATTGATGTGGTCAAAAAGCGATCATCAAATTTAGGTGACGGTAATGAGAGTGCGCCGCGACGCCACGTAGAACTTATAAGAGTGTGCATGCATCAAGCGTCGTAGTCATCGTAACGTGGCGCGTCGGGTTGTAAAAGCTCAAAGGGCAAGTTGCGCGCTTTTGCATTTATGAAAGCTCGCACTATTTTTAATGTGCGTTAAGTGTTGGAAAACTTAGGCTTTGTTGTGGTGTGAACTTTTCTGTTTTTGCACGTCTATTCCATACCCCGCAAGATCGTAAGTAACTTCAAGTTTTTATTGGCGTAACTTTGTACCTACTTGTCGTTTGCACTATTTACTATTCCTATAACTTATATTATATGTAAAAGTTGCTTACTGTTGAACCAAAATTTATTTACTTTACAAGTAGTTATGATATATACTCGTATTATAAACGCGTGACGCGCAGTTTTTAAGGGCAGTTTCATGATTGACTAGGTAAACGAATGCAAATGAAACTAATTATCATACCGAAGAGAAATATCCATTACATTCTGAAAGTTGAATACGTTTTATTTGAAAAAGTTGGCGACCACATACATGCACCAGTGTTAGGCTTTGTACGTTAATTTGCATTCATTTGCTACGAGTAATGAATCATACCATTTTTTTCATTACGGTTGGTAGTTCAACACTTTTTACGTAGACAATGTATAGTAGGTATATTCCAGCGGTCGGTAACCTGCGGC